CTCTTTAGTGGACCTAATGTCATATGTACAGCTTATTCAAATTCTGTTATTCTCGATTCCTTTATGTTTAAGACTGACTATACAGAGATTGGAAAGTGTTATTCATCACTTAGCTGTGATCACTTGAACTTAAAGGCACTGGCATGGGTCGGGGCCGAGTTAGTTTGTGATCATTGATTGTTGTAAATTAATACTAGGAAACGCGATGAGAGGATTAAGCGGGGAGCCAGCAAAAAAAGACCATAAGGAAAAAGTTTAGTTGTGCCAATGTCGCGATTCCTGTGCTGGGGAACCCCTCTTCGGGGTTTAGGGGTGCACTCTTGCCTAATCTCGACTCGCAGCCCAAACAGCCGCGATTCAGTCCTTCCCAACGTAGGAGAGGTATGAAGATTGAGAACAAGGGTTATTGAACGTTCGGCCCCGACCCATGCCAGTGCCTTTAAGTTCAAGTGATCACAGCTAAGTGATGAATAACACTTTCCAATCTCTGTATAGTCAGTCTTAAACATAAAGGAATCGAGAATAACAGAATTTGAATAAGCTGTACATATGACATTAGGTCCACTAAGAGAGGTAATCTTTTCGAAGATTTCAATGGTAAGTTGGCCTTGCAGAGTTCGTCCAGTTTTGCTTTGCATCGAAAAATGATCATTACTTACCAAATTAGAGGGTGGTGCTTGTTCCGAGGCCTTTTGTTGTGCAACTGGGCTGGCAAAGCAGCTCAGTGTTAGAGCGAATAGCACAGCGAAATGTCGCATTCTGAAGTGAGAATTTTTATGAAACACCACTTTGAATTCAAACTGCGTTCGAGATATATGTGAGAGAATGACATGAACGATATGCTCGTAAGGAGCCGCCTTCCCTATCAGGAATTCCTCCTTTGTCGGTAATCATTTCGAACGAGAAATAAATACGACTTCAGAAGTGCTGTAATGGGATATGGGCAATAGAGTTCGTCCTGAAAGTAAGCCAAGGCTCTGGGCCTAGGATAGCAAAGGGTTGTAAGATGAGAGTTGTCCAACAATGGCACTTGCCAGTCGATGAACGACTTTAATTTCTTGTGAATATATGCGCCACTGATAAGGAGTTATCAGCACCAGAAAGTACCGATAAGTCATCGTCGACGCGACCGGAAGCCCCAAAAAAGGGCGAAATAGCTGTCATTCTAAAGTACAGGTTACTAAAAGCATTTCAACGTTTTTATGGTCATTTACCATGGCAGTGACAGGTACCCTTTACAAGAGAGTCCGGCCGCGTCTCGCTCGTTGTATTGGGCCCAGAGTGATCAGTTGTTCATCAGTAAATCACTGTGATTTCTTGTCCTACAAATTGGAGCGCTATCAGAAAATAACGGAGAATAGTTCTGTACATTTACCCTCATTGATGACAACGGAGTTGCCACAACGGATTGCCATTGCCTCTCCCAAGCGGTGAAATAATTTAAGTGACACACCAAGATCGATACCCATACGAAGTCTCGCTATCACAGTGCGGCGTCACGCAGGTTCCGAACCGACACGGAGTGCGCGCACGAGCTCGCCGTTTATGGCCGATGCAGGACTTTGGAGACCCGAGTGATTCGCTACACTACACGCGAAGAGTTCGCCGGTATCAGCCACAAGATTCGTTTTCCCGCGTTCTTTGGTTAGGCTGCAACGCGAACCGCGGACGCTAGGCGAATCGCGTCGACGCGCAAAGTCTGGCGTCTGACCTAACTCGATGATGCGATCGCTTACTTTCCTAATTTCTAACGGATCATAATTTAGTGATCTTTGTATGCACCATTACTGAACGCACATCTGTGGCCTACCGTTGTTTAGAGTTATCCTTCGAATAATCAATTTTATGTTGAACCACTGTAACTTTTCCTGAAGAACTTCCAGAATGTTAAGTATTTTGTCCGAAAGGGCGTTAGATGCCCGCGGATAGATGAGATGCCTGGCTCATTTCACCTTTTTCCTCCTCACCAGCTATAACTCCATAGAAGATATCATGAAGAAGTTGAGAGTTGAAGTGCAGCGTGGAGGGTGATGTGGGTCATACTAGTGCTTTTTTTAACTATTATCAACTCCTCACTCAAGATTAGAATATAATCAGGAGCTCTAACTGCGACTCCCAAGTCCAAATTTGAGAGCTATACTGCTTAAAAGTGCTCAATGAGGAGGGACCATATATTGTTACTTCTGTTTTTCCTCTTTTTTTTGTATTTTAATTTGCCCCTCAATAAAGCTAAAAGCTACAGGGTGTCACTGCAGAAGGGTGAGGGAAAGGGCAGAAAAGTAATCCTTCCTCCACCATTGCAATTAATTTTGCTAAATTCAAATCGGAGGTCAAAAGTTCCTTTCCCATTTTTCCCACCTCCCCAGCTGAGAATGAAGGAACTCAATCCGTTCCACATGTTATATTTCGTCTCTTAGCTCATGTTTTTCACCTTCACATAAGTCTGTTGGAGGTGGAAGGAATACGGCAGAATTACTATTACTTGGAAATCAGTGGCAAGGTGTTCCTTAAACCATGCTTCTGAAAGCTTTCGGTGAGCCCTTCAGTGCTACCAAATTCCTCAACGTGTGCTTAACGCTACCCGGTCCTCACCTGACGTGATGTGACCTTACGCCCACACCTGCTTCTTTCCTTCGCGGTTCAGGTTCATGTTCACAGCACATGAAATGACGTTGAAATGGCGATAGTCCGATAGTTAATCACCTTTCAACGAAACCTTTCGTCTCTGAGCCATCTTTCAGCGATAGCGTAATCGTCTCTTCAAAACTGAGTCACGCCTTTGATAAGCACGAACCATGGAGAAAAACTTTCCCGACTTTTGGGATCGAAACATCATCTGTGACTTACCATTAGGCCTTCAGCGAGTGACACACAGGTCTTGAAGAAAAATCCGAGGCATAACATTCAACCGCTCAAATTGATCAATTAACCTGGCCAACTTTTTTAAGCAGCCGCAGCATTGCACGGCCTGTACGGCGGTCTTGGTCCAGACGATGTTACCTTTATCCGGACAAACTAGTCTGCTACCAATTAATGGGCCTCAAGCGAAGAAAGGATTCCTCGACCGGAAACGATATGGTTTACCCATGAAGCATGTCAATGCAAAGCCAAGCAAAATTACTAGAATGAAAGGTTATCTTTGAGTTTCAAATACAGGCCGATAGTCACACCAGGCACCCAGCAGGTTTCCTATCGCTTTTTAACTCCACTTGATGATTTTCACGTCTCATTCAGCACGTCGACGACAGCGCAGGACACATGCGGCTCGCACTTTGCGCGCCACATGGGAAGGGGTGGGACGTATGTGTCCCGCGTCCATGCCGTCCACCTCGTTCGCGCACTTTCCAGGGTCTTTTGTATCCACTCAATGGACCATACTTTATCATCACCACAAAACCTTTGGTTATAATGTGGGCGTTTTGGTTGTAATGAATGTAATAGGGCTGAGAAATCGATTTGATACAATTACTCTATCATAACTCCAGAGCTTAAGAGGTTTACGTGGGTGCTCGCCTGCGCGCGTACGCGATCTTGGTATCCACGTAAATGATAGTGCAATAATGCAGCGGATGCACACAGTATACTCAGCTTCACCAACGAAAATCTTGCAGTGCGTTCCAATTACAACTCACTTTATCACGTACAGTCGATATCCGAAAGTTGGGGTGGGTGTGTCACCGGAAGTGACGTGCACTTGATAGAAGTGCGTGGATAAGCTGTTGCCAGCATGCTTTGCTGATAGCCAGCGATGTATGTTGGAAGCAGCTTATCCACATAGTTTCTATCAAGTGCACGTCACTTCCGGTGACACGCCCACCCCAACTCACCGATATATCTATAACTG